ATTAAAATTCAAAAGAACAAAATAGGGAAGCAAACTAGATATATACAGCCAAATTGTGCAAGCAGTCTGCCTGTACTATCAGCCAAGGTCCACCGCTTAAAGCCGAGCACCGCCGTCGTAGGTGGCAGTGCCCGGAGGCAGGATGTGGCAAGCGCTGGCAAATGGTTTAATACTTTATTGTCTTAGTGCAGAGGAAGCGTGTATGAAGATAAGATCCTTGAAAAATGAAACGAAATCCAAAATACGGTATAAAATCAAGTTTGCTTTTAGGTTTTGTAGTTATCTAATCAATTTGGAAAAAGATAAAAAATAAAAAAAAGGAAGAAGAAAGAAGAAATTTTTTATTAAAAAAAACATGAAAATTGAAGGAGTCTTAATTCTTTAAAAAATAACATATATATTCACAACTCATCTGCAATAAAGTTCAAAATACGGTATAAAATCAAGTAACTCGTTCACAATAAAATTTTAAATATGGTATACTAGAAAGTGCAAAATTTAATATATCATTATATATGACTCGTTTGTATTCATATATAAAATTCTTTGAAAATCAAGAAATTAGCGTCTGTGTACAGAGAAAAAATTGAACGATATAGTATTATATATTAAATAATGTGATAACGTATTTGAGAGAGATTACAATCGAATTTCGAAGTAAAGTACAGGAGAAAATAATAAATTATTTTTATGTTGAAAATTCAAATTACTATTTTATCCTTTGAGAAATTACTAAAATGTAGTCAAATGTAATATTTTTTGTTTTAGCTAATGGAATATGGGTGGAAATTATTCATTTTGTCCTTCTGGTGTGACTATTTTAAATGTCCGGGACTCCGAATAATACAAATAAAAGATTTAGATAAAGTCTAAAAAAAAAAAAAAAGAAGAAGAAGAAATGTTTGGTATTGTGGCTATAATTATCCCTTATATTAATACCATATTTTTATTAATGGTACTTAATGTCCTCAATTTTTATTAATTGTAGTACTTATATTCTCAATTTCTTTTTGAATATTTTTATCCTCAACTTTCAAATAATTAACTTATCTTGTCGTTAATGATGATATCAATTAAACTATCCAGTTTGCATATTTTGAAATTTTAAAACAATGATGTTTATGTATTTACAACCTCTTTGACAAAACTTTTGAAGATCTTGAGATTAGTGGATCACGTAAAATATGTGATTAAAATTTGATAAAATTGTGAGTTCGATGAAATATATGGTTAAAAATGAAATTTGATCAACTTAATTTTTGAAAAAAAAATATATCTTTAGCAATCCATATCAAAAAATGATAGAAAAGAAGTCTTTTCTGCTTTTCGACATACCTTACAGACGAAAATTATTATCAAATATAAGATGAGTGAATTAATACAAAACTGGCGACATAAAATGTGTGGGACAGAATGAACAAAAATTGAAGGTAAAATTAAAATGTAATTTGTCTAATTAAAAAATTGTAGTGCGAATTGTTTCACTCCTTTTTCGACACATTGTTTGCATTTAAATAATTATATAATTCCTTATAAATAAGTATTATTATTCATAAAATAATGATGATGATAAATATCGATAATGTGACAGTCCATCATCCCTCACATTTCTCTTTCTTGAGAGTATGTATTCTCCCCTCTCTCTGATAAAAATTAAATTGTTTATTCTCATTATTCTACGTAAACTATTATTTTCCATTATCGTGATAACAAATAATATTATTTTTATTCAAATACTAACAATCGCGCCTTAAGGTGTGGCCCCCGCAAAGATCCGGCATTGAATTTTCACCCGTGTAGAAATGGAAAATTTTGGTCCACGGTAAAGACCCGAGAAGCATATCGGGAACCTACAGAAAACGACTCTTTTTGAGTAATAGGTCCAGCAAGGAAACCTTAACGAAGCAAAACCTAGATGGTGGGTCCCTATAAACCGACCAAAATAAGAGATAAGATAAATCGGGCGAAGCGGTGGTTAATTCTTAACTGCAACAGGACTTTTAATTCAAAACCCCTCACCTAACCACGGTTAATCAACGCTCCGAATTAAAATAATAAACCCAAGTTTCTGGTGGATTCCGCTTTCTCATGTACAGGCTCCACGTGGCTATTTGGAGCTCTCTTACCAGACACGTGGATTTTGATTACTCGGCCGGTGGACTACAATTGAATTTGTTGATAATATGGGGCCCATTGGCATTATCAAATTTACATGGCGATGTTTTATTGGTGTTTGGTATGGTCAAGTTAATTTAAAAAGAGCAGGGTCGTGTGTACAGAAAGTGTACACACATAACCACTACAAAAGAGACACAGCACTAAGGTGAGTAGGTAACTTTTTGACATTTTTTTATCATAGCATGAGCCACATAAAGTGAGATTTCTTGTGCATTTTTGTGTAATACTCTTCTATGCAAATGGAATTGCTGATTTAAAAATGAATTAATCTCAACGTACATTCCTAGGTGACACTATTATTGACATTGTGTGAGTTATCAAAAATTGTGCCATTGATTGTTTAAAACATTATGTCCTTGTTTGATTCCTATTTTTTCTGAGTAAAATAAAAAATGTGGTCGTTATCTATCACATTAATTCATCAAATTTGAATTTCTATCTCTTGTATGAGGTTCATAACGACTATATTATTCATTCTCATTCTTTCAAAAATAAGAAACAAATTGGGACTATATTGATAAAGTAAATGTACGAAAAATGAATTATACGACATGTACATCAAAATTTTCATTAATAAAGAAATGTCACTTGGTCATTGAGATTTAAAATTATGGTAGCTAGTAGGTCAGGTTAACTGCCAGCTATGAGTTAACTGTTTGTTCCTTTTTATTGGTTACCTTGTCCGTTAAAATGTTTCCAAAAATTAACGATGCCGATGAAAAAGAAGTCCCCAGAAGAATCTAAAATGAGACAAGTGGGGGAAGAACAGTAGTAACGGAACGGTAAAATTGACTGCCGTTTGATCCGTTAAAATGTTTCCAAAAATTAACGATGCCGATGAAAAAGAAGTCCCCAGAAGAATCTAAAATGAGACAAGTGGGGGAAGAACACTAGTAACGGAACGGTAAAATTGACTGCCCTTTGAATAAAACTGGGTCCAGATTCATGGGTCCCACCAAAAATCCCTTTTTCTTTCACACTCATCCGTTATAAGTATAGGCCCAAGGGCTCTCCTCTTCTCGTTATTCTCTCGCTGTTCTGCAAATGCTAGAGCTCTATTTTTCTCTCTAAATTCTCAGTTTGTGGCTCTTCATACAAATCACTTTCCATTTCTATTCACAATTTCAACGAAAAATCTCTTCGCATCGATCTGAATTCCATATAATTAAACTCATTTTCCAAATAAAACAGTTCGCTGTCATTTTTTGTGAATTTTCTCGTTCGTGAGACCTTTGTTTCGTATAATCGTAAGGTATGCCTGTGATTTCGACGCTTTTGATGAATATATTGATAATATTTTATGAAAAATCCCGTGGAGGAAATTTTCACTAAATGTTTTTCTTTCTTTACGTGTTCTGTATTTTGTTAAATTTTTCGAGTTTTCTTCTTAAGGTTCATGTCTCCGAACTTTTTTGTTTGATTCCTTAATTTTTTTATTAAGTATTGTATTTATCGTCGTGGATTACAATGTACACGTGTCTATATGTCCCCTCAGGTTCTCACACGTAGATTAGAGTCATTAGACTTCATTTCTGATTTATTTGATTTTTATTTTTCTAAATTTACGCTATTATTGAAGATTTTGAGCTATTAATATGTTTCCGTATTAGCATAAAACGGAATAAATGTTTCCAGATTTACCAAAATCTAAACACTATTTTGTTGTTTTACCATTTTTAGCGGCATAGAATTCCAGATCAGCTGAAAAGATTATCATTTTCATTCAAATTCTTCTAATTTCATCCGCAAGTGCTGAGTCTTGCTTTATTGTACTGATTTTTGTCATTAACTGTGTTCTGTAGTGTCATGGAACACTTTCAAAACAACGAGCTTGAGTACGTTGTTGATGATTACTATGATGTCAGTGATTTCGACGACGATGACTTTTCACCTCAAAGCGTAAGCAATTCAATTGACAATGACTCTGTAGACTCCGATTTGGAGGATGACTTTGAGCTGGTAATGAATTTTTCTGGGTTATTGAATTTATGTTTCCTTCTTTTTCTTGATCGGAAATGTGGCAATTTTATATAATTGTTTGGATTTTTTGTGTTTAACAGAGCAAGCCAAAGACTGATACATCGGCCATAGAAGTTCGGAATGGCAAGGATATCCAGGGGATACCATGGGAGAGGCTCAATTTTACTCGAGAAAAGTACAGAGAATCCAGATTGAAGCAATATAAAAATTATGAGAATCTTTCGCGCTCTCGTGAAGACCTTGAGAAGGTATTGAATTTTCTTTTTGTTTCTTTGTTTATTGCATTGAAATTATTTTCTATTGTGTCTTATCAAACGTATGTAAACTGCGACCATGTTTTATATTAATTATTTTTTGAGCGTTTGTAATTATTATACTATTTTGCAAAAGGCTTGAACAAAAAATATTGAATATTTTGAAAAATGAGTGGAGAAATGTATAAGATAAATCGTCTTGGACATTCCAGGATCTGGATTTAAAAAGATCTTGGGAATTTTAACTTGTGTTCAGGAGCAATTGCTTTTTTAGCCTATAGTTTTCTCAGGTTTCTTATTATCCTGTGATTTTGAATATACGTCTCAACCCATAAAGCAATTTTATCGGCTTCCTGCAATATGTTGTAAACAGCACAGGCTTCTGTAATTTTCGCAATTTTCTGAAGTTGCCTTACCCCTAATGATGTGCACATAATGGTTTTCTTATGGGTTTGTTTCTAAAATCTGTATTGCTTGGGTCACAGGAGTGCAAACAAGTGGAGAAAGGCCATGCCTTTTATGATTTTCAATTCAACACAAGACTGGTCAAATCAACAATAGTGCATTTTCAGGTAGACACCAGCACAACTAGTCTTCAGCTTTTCTATATTTATAATTTTGTTAAACGAAAGTGGGTTTGGTGTTGAAAGGCATATATACATGTAGTATGGTTTGTTGTTACAGCCATTATTTCTTCAATATGTTGTGAAATAATCGTTTTGAAATACGATTATTTTTTATTGCTCCGTTAAACTTCAACTAGTGCTTCATTCTTTTTTATTTTAAACCAATACTGGTTCGTTTGGTTGGATGTCCCTCATTGCGATTACCTTCAACTTTAACATTCATCCTCTTCCTCTTTTATTTCTTTTTTCATCTTTTATGACCTTCATTAGGATAATAATAACAATAATAAGCTCAGTCATATTGAGCTCTGTCTTTTCTTATTTTAATTAATGCGTTTGGGCTGGAATTCTCTGCCTATTTGCTTTATTTGCAGTAGTTGGTCAGTTTAGAACTTCTATCATCTTTGACAGCATTTGAAGGAAATCAGTGATAGGACCCTTATCTTTGGTAGTTCTATCTCCTGTTTCAAAATGATTTCCTGTTATTTGTTTATTCATATAGACTTCTTCACACATGCCATGGGGAAGTTTTGCAGGGGTTATCTTTACACTAATGTTTTGTGGCTCTATACGTTAGTATTCTTGCTGTGCCGTTAGTCATTTTTTGGAAGGTATGGTGTTTATAAATGTATTTCTGTTGGAGCTCAGATCTTCATAGTTCATTTGCTCTTGCAAGTAAATATAGCTTTTCAATCACCAACTCCTGCAACAGTGTTCCAGAAACAATACATCTGAGTGGCGATTATGTTTGAGACCATCCTTGTTCTTGCTTTGATTGAAACTGGTGAATTTTTCTGATTATATAATTTAAAATCTCACTAATGCTATCTTCCTCCATAGAAAAAGTCTCTGCATGTTACTTGTATCTTTTGCACGAGGATGGGAATTTTGCTAGGTTCCTTTTGTTACTTACTTTAAAGTATGATTCCTAAAAGAAGCAACTTCAATTACTTTGGCATTAACCTCTCCAGAAGTTAACATTAGCGAATCTTTAAATCATTATTTTTTCTTTAACAATTATGTTTGTGCCCAGTTCAGCCAGCGTTGAGCTGGGATTTATATTTACTAAATCCTTTTTGTGCAGATTGTAAACACTTGCCAAGAAATTTAATTATATTAGAAGATCTCGTTTTGGAAGGTACAGTAGTGAATATATGCCACCTGGTTTCCACTGCTTTTGAAGCCAGGTTATGATTATGGGACCATATGGTGAGAAATAACTTAGCCTAACCAAGGTCAATAATTTTTAGTGGTTTAGAACACACGCCAGTTGTAATTTCTTCTTGATTTGTTTCATTATCATTATGTGCCTTCTAACATAATTTCACATGACCCTAACAGATTTGTAATGCTTACTGTACATATCGGAACCACTATTTGTAGGAAAAACTATTATGTATTGCTCTTTGTTTTAATGTCCTTGTCTCTTTTCTTTTCTTGCTGTCTGGAGCGTCTCCTCGTTGTTCTTTCTGAATTCTATAGTTTCTACCAATTTTGAGAGTAAAGGCAAGCTTTGAGCTTTGTATAGTGTTCATCCATACCACGTGTATTTTACCCATGTTGAATGCTATTAGCCTATTGCATACATATTCTATGGCCTGCACTTCAGATTTTTCTAGTTAGCAATGTTTTTGCAGTGCTTGAAATTTGTGCCTTGGTGAAAAGAATAAAAGGTGCAAAATTAAATCTGAAAAATAGACGTATGTAGAGTTTCCTGGGGACATGAAAACTTAGTTGGTCTTCATGTGCATTAAAATTTCTTTTTATTTTCTCTCTCTCTCTCTCTCAGTGTTGCAATATGCTGAACACTCTGAATCAGAATTTGTGTTTTGAGTATAATCTTTATGACTGAATGCAGTTTCCTTGTAATTTAACCATGCCATGTGGTACTTGTATTTTATCTTTATTTCAGAAGTAAAAGCAGGAAGGCAGTTTTTATCTGAGCAGCTGGCGCAATAAGGAAAAGTTTCATTATGGTATGATAGGGAAACACCTGAGCATTTAAGAGGCCTAATTAGAAATTTCTGTACCAAGTATTAGTTTTTACTGGTCAGGAACTCAGTTTTACTATCATTTTATCCTAGTCAAGAACTAGAATTATCTTATCATGCACAGTGCACACTTACACTTAATGCAGTTTATACCATCGTTACTTAATGTGTACTTTGCATGATTTCCTTGTTATCTCTGGTTGCTTCTAAGGTCTGTGTTATAATCTTCAGGGGATAATTTTTTACCTGTTAGATATTATGTATTGATGTGTTTGTAGAAGCAAGATTGACTTTATAGACTGATGTTTTATTTATCCTGTTCTCTGGTCGTTGCTGTCTAACTTTCATTAGTGCCAGGGGTTATGGAAAATATGGCTTTTAGAATGAGCTCTCAGTAGGACTTGTTCTTTTAAATTTTTTAATTCGAAAACGTGTATTTGTTTGCCACTTAAAGATTCCAATAATTCAAAGTTAGTTTTCTCTAGTACAGAAGATCTCACAAGTCTAGTATCTTGAACTATATGCCTAAGGCCCATTACTAATTAGTAATCTGATTTCATGTGCAGTCTGACGATGTTTTCATGAAATTCTACAGCCTTTACCCGTATGTTCATTGGCTTTAACTTGACTTCAATAGTTTGGTCTTAAAATTGTATAGTTTATGGTCTTTTGTTGATTTTTTTTTTTGCTGTCTTGTATTATTTTATATAAGTGATTATATTTGCTTTTTAATTGTCATGAAGCATGTAGTCATAGGATGGTCTGCATTCATAATGCTGGATGTGACCGAGAACAGTTTTCATGTCTTAGCATTGTCTTAAAATGTCATAGGATGGTCTGCATTCATAATGCTAGATGTGACCGAGAACAGTTTTCATGTCTTAGCATTGTCTTAAAAGGTTGAGATATTGTCATTAACTTCCCATGTTTAACGCCCTTAGAACTGTGTTGATCTCCCCCCTCCCCACTGCTGTTTCTTTTCTCTTCCTTTTCGTCTCTTATTGTGGTGTGTAATTTGGTAATAGAGACTTATATCTCATTTTCCTTTGATTCATGATTGAGTCATCAATAAGGTTGTTTGTGTCATCACTTTCATTCCCCCAGAAGGCTCTGTTGTAGAAATTTGATTATGATCCTACGTGCTGCTTGTATTGTCAATAAGAAAGAGGTGATTGTGGAGAGAGAAGTTAGGTAAGAGTTGAGCGACACTGTACGGCAGCTAGGAGCTTGCTTGTGAATCCTGCCATAAGTTTGATGACTTCATATTTTGAGCAGAACTTAGCCTTTTGATCTTTTTTTGCTTTTCTTCCTTTTCCCTTACGATCGCTTCCTATCTTCTTAATTTAGTACATAAGTTAATGTAGGATGTTGACTGTAGTTTTTTATTACTGTGTTGTTAAATGTCAACTTATCAGGTTTCTGAATCTTCTCTCTCTCTCTCTCTCTCTCGTTACTCTCGTAGTTGGACACTCGTGATTGATTATGCATTGGAGTGCTTTTATCGTTTAATTTTATTTGACTGCTAAAATCGTGCTCCATGTTCTACTGATTAATCCTTTCCAGACCATGAACAGTCTTTCTTCACTCTCTTTGTTGGACGTTGTTTCTGTGCTATTAGTATGTGATTTGATATTTTAGTTGATCTTCCCAATAACTGCTCTTCTTTACCTCTCAGCTGAGGAATCTCTTGTGGGCAACCTCAAAGCATGATGTGTATCTTATGCAAAACTATTCTGTAATGCACTGGTCCTCTCTTCTTCGAAGGGGTAAAGAAGTTCTCAATGTTGCCAAACCTATAGTGCCAACCCTAGTGAGTTGCATTCTCTTCTAATTTTATCTTCTATTTTAAAATTTAAGAAATTCATTTGAGCTTAATCTTTGTGGTTCATTTTGCAGAAATATCCTGGATGTTTAGCACAACCACTTTCTAGGGTTCAGATCAGTACTATGATGGTGAATGACAATCTTGTGGTTGCTGGTGGTTTTCAAGGAGAGCTTATTTGTAAGGTAGGTTTTAATTACATGAAAAGGGAAGTCAAAAAGTTACTGATTTAGTGTTGATTGGTGTCTCTATGTTATTATTTGGTTGCTTAGCCTTACTTCTTGTTTTCACAGTATATAAACCAACCTGGAGTTGCATTCTGCACAAAAATATCCACTGATGAAAATGCTATTACCAATGCGGTGGATGTATATCACAACCCTAGGTAAGAATTTGAATTCTGGTGCTTTCTGAATTCTTATCTGCTCATCCTTTGCGTAGGCATTCTTAACTGATGGTCTTTTGTAATTTTCTTGGCAGTGGCTCAAAGAGGGTTATGACTGCAAACAATGATTCTCAAATCCGAGTTTTTGATGCTGTAAATTTTGCTTGTCTAAGTCATTTCACATTCCCGTGGTCTGTCAATGTGAGTGACCCGGAAAATAATTATTTTTGATTACAGAAGATTTGGTTGTAACTTGTAATAATCTGATCAGCATATTCCTTTTGTTACAGAATACATCAGTAAGCCCTGATGGTAAACTTCTTGCTGTCCTTGGTGACAGTCCTGAATGTTTGATTGCTGATGCACAATCGGGGAAGGTCAGTTGCAATTCAAGATTGATTTTCTTTACTTAATACAATCCCATGTCGACAATGTAGTCTGGTGCTAACTAACTGTTGCTTGTGCAGGTTCTCAGCAACTTAAAGGGGCATCTCGACTATTCATTTGCTTCTGCCTGGCACCCTAATGGCCAAATTTTGGCTACTGGAAACCAGGATACGACCTGCAGATTGTGGGATATAAGGAACCTATCAGAGTCCTTTGCTGTACTCAAAGGAAGAATGGGTGCAATCAGGGCCATAAGATTCTCATCGGACGGCCGATTTATGGCTATGACTGAACCTGCTGACTTTGTCCACATATTCGATGCTGAATGTGATTATGCTCGTGGACAAGAGATTGATCTGTTTGGGGAGATAGCCGGAATTTCCTTCAGCCCCGATGGTGAAGCACTCTTTGTTGGAGTTGCAGACAGAACATATGGCAGCTTGTTAGAGTTCAACCGGAAACATTATGACCACCAATATCTGAACTGCATGTTTTAGACAATTTCAGCATTCCAAGTCCTGCTTGAAGAATAGATACTGTTCATATGATTGTAACAAAACCTTTCTAAGACAAATTGCAATTTGCTAACAAGAACTTTCTGTTCAGTGATATTTTCTGTAAGCAGAAATGGGAAAATTTTGCAAATTTGTATATATATATATATATATATATATATATGGATTTGCAGTCGCGTTGTAAATCAAAACATTTAATATTTATGACGTTTGTTCCGCCATTTTTGGTTTTCTGCTGTTAGGTTTGGTATCCAATAAATTCTGGATAATGATGTTAAACGTTAGAATATATTTCATAGGTCTCGAGAGTGTGATAATTTTCAACAACCAAGTTTAAAAGTTCAACTAGGCCCATTTATTGAATCTTAAGGCTATTTAGTTGGAATATTGGTTCAATTAAGGACTCATCCAACCCTACATATAAGCGCTTATCCTAGCTATTTTTTAGTGTGTGATTGGTGTGTTTGAGAGAAGAAAAACGTGGCTGCTCATCGCTGCAAAAACCGGTTGCTTTGGTGCCAAAAATCAGTGACTTCCTTTTTGAGTATTTGGCCTCTCTTTTGTGCTCTCTTTCATTGGTTTTCCCTCTTACATTTGTTGTTGCAAATCATCGTCGTCGTCTTATCCTTTATAGGTGAGATTGAGAAGCAACCAAGGTGAATATATTAATTACGGGTTAGAGCTGTTTTGATTGATTGTTTAATAGAGAAAAGATAACGTGAAATTGAGTCGAAAAACATATATTTGACAATCTTTGGAGCAAGCTTCCGCAATAACTTGTATTAGAGCTTCAAGGTAGTGGATTAGCTCAAAAAATTGACCACAAATTGATCATAAAGGAGGCAAAAACGAAGCTAAAAATAGATCGAAAAAATGTTCGAAAACTGTTAGAATTTTGAATTTTTTGTTAACATACATTCACGTTGCATTGATTATCCTTTTAAAACACTTAGACTTGACCCGTTTGAACATTCCATTGATCTAAGATTGTGAATCTTATAAAACCCTGAAAATTCAGAATGAAGTATACTGCAGCCTTAGGATTACTTTGTGTGATCTATTTTGTGCACTTTGATTGTTCCGTTTTCTCAAAATGTCTTCACATTTCGAAGTTGAAAATTTCAATGTGATAAGAGATTTTTAAATTTGGCAACAAAAGAAGAAAGAGATTTTGGTTCAATGAAAAGTTTCAAAAGTTATTGATAACAATTTTTTTGCAAATTTGAGTGAAGCACGAAAGGAAGAATTTAATGAATTTGCTTACACTTCAATTATTTTACATTTATTTGACACTGTTTTGAGAAATGGTGGAAAACTTGATTCTGCAAAAGAATTTTGGCAAAAGTTAAAGTACTTACATTTGTTTAAGTCAACTCTTAATAAGTTGTACTTTGCTTGAAGATTTTTCAGTCTTAAAATGGATCATTCAAAAAATTTTGATGACAATTTAAATATTTTCTACAAGCTTGTTCGAGACATTGTTACCTGTGATTAAAATGTGTCTAAAACGTAAAATGTCATTATTTTACTTGATTATATGTCTGATTCATATAGAGAGGTTAATAGTGTAGTTATGGTAGGGAGACCTTAACATTCGAGATTGTCATAAACTCCATTAAGAATAAGGAGATGAAGATTAAAACTAAAAAGAAGATAATAGGAGTGATGAGCAATAGAATGTAAGATTAAGCAAATGAATTTGGGTAGAATTCAAGACAATAGTGATGAGGGTGGTAAGAAAAAAGGGCAAGGGTTGGGATAGATCTGGTGGTAAGCTGTGTTATAGTTATGATATTAGACACTTTATTAGGGACTGTCTCAAGAAAAATGATAAGCATAAAGATAAGATGGGAGGTGATGCAAATGTGGCTATAAGGTCGAGTGATGACTTTAGTGAGGTTAATTGAAAGTAAACTTAGTTACTGTATGTCTATCTATGTGTAATCCTTTTTGCATATGATGATTACTTAACTTTGTTACGTTGATATGTTACACTTTCAATTTATTTGTATGTGTGTAACTACATGAATTGAGGTGATCTTATTACTTAGTGTAATTATTTGCATGCATAGTAGGTTGGGATGCATAAGCAGAGTGTACAGTGTATTTTGGTAAGGTGGAGTTTAAATGTTTGAATCGGGGATGTGTAGTGTGGCATTTGGATTACGAGTGGAAAGGTAATTAAATGTTTGAATCATTTATCTGTGAAGAGACTCTGATCAGGTGGATTGTGCGAAAGGCACTTCTATTACTTTCGTTAGGTGGGGACCCATTATTCACTTAGATTGGGAGAAGTGATGTTGTGATAGAGGATTATCTCGAGGACTCAGAATCTATTATGACTTATCAGTTAAACATGAGTTGAGCGGTCCATCCAGTGAGCATGTTGGCCATATAAGAAGAGATATATGTGTTCACGAAGTGTGAGCAACACAGAATGAGATAAGACAAGTGTAGTGAGATCTTTTCATAGGGTCATTTATGCATTTGTTGTATATGTATTGACCATTTGATTGATTAACTTGGCGTTGGTCTGTTGTTCTGTGTGAACATATCTGAAAAGATTTATGTGTTATCCTATATTATACCGTTATCGTATGTTTATTTGTTCTTGATTGATTACTGTAAATAGTTGTTTCTATTTGGGTGTTCTTGACCTTAGCCTTGGTGAGCATATGGATCAAGTATGGTATGTGTTTTGAGTCTAAAACACGAGGTAAAGTTTGTGACCTCAATTTTATTGGATATCTTGATTATGCAAGTACTAACAGTTTGTTTTAATTGCTTGCAGGTTTATTGGGTATTAATGTGGAGATTTGGTGGTTTTGATACTTAATAAATCTCGGGCTCTGATGTTAAACGTCGGAATATAGTTCATAGACCTCGGTCGATGAGTGAAATAATTATCAACAACCAAGTCCAATGGCTAAACCCAATCCATTTATATTACATTTTGGATGGATTTGAATTTTGACTCATTTAACCTTATTATTGGTCCAAATAAAGCCAAACGTAACCCTACATATATGTGCTTACCCTAGCCCTTTTTTAGTGTATGATTTGTGTGTTTGAAGTAGAAAAACGTGGCTGGTCATCCCTGCAAAAATTGAATGCTTTGGTGCCAAAAATCGGTGACTTCCTTTGAGTATTTGGCCTCCCTTTTGTGCCTTCTTCCATTGGTTTTTCCTAGGGATGACATTTTGGCTCGTCGGCTCGAGCCGCCTGTGGCTCGGCCCAGAAAAAGCTCAAGCCGACTTGGCTTGGGGCTCGATACAACCGAGTTAAGGCTCGGGCCGAGCTCCATTCAAGGAGAACGAGCCAAGTCCAAGCCGGCCCGCAGGCCTTATTAAAAAAAAAAAAAAAAAAAAACCAAAAAGCTGCCTTAATAGGCAATCAGGCAGCACAACTGCTTCCTTAAAAGGCAGTCAGTGGCTGCCTAATTATTAAATTAAAAAAAAGACATAAAAAGTGAGCCTACTCGGCTCGACTTGGAAAGGCCCGAGCCGAAAGCTCGGGTCGAGCCTAATTTTTTTGGTCGAGCTTTTGCTAGGCTCAGGCCCGGAAAAAGCCTGCACATCGAACCCAAACCTTGATTTTCGGCTCGCAAGCCGACTCGGCTCGACTCGTTGACATCCTTAGTTTTTCCTCTTGCCTTTGTAGTTATAAATCATCATCGTTATTCTATCATTTGTGGGTGAGATTGAGAAACAACCAAGGTAAATATATTGGTTGTGAGTTGGAGTCGTTTTGATTGATTGTTTGGTAGAGAAATGTCACATTAAACTAAGTTCAAAAAACACCAATTTGAAGATGGTTGGAACAAACTTCGACAACATGTGTCATTTTATGGCATTCTAAATTATCTCAATTAACGCCACAACTTTTAACACGAAACCTTTCTAAGTGGACCAATCCAAGATCAGAATTTGTCCACTCAAATATACAATTACATACCATTTGTAATTTGCTCAAGAAACTTCCCTTCACCCAACAAAAAATCATCCATCGACAAGTTTCAGTCCACGAATCACATTCAATTTCGTGCAGATTCTGGAAAAATTATCGAATTAAAATCTTATGAACAAATTGGCTGCTCTTGAGGGTGACATAAAACTGCCCAGAAAAAGACCAAGTTTTGCATGAATGAATCCCGTTGTCCCCTAAGGTAGAACAGACATTTGTTCGAATTATAAGATGGGTGGTTTTTTTCTTTTCTACATATAAAATCTACATATAATTGTACTATATTTTTTTATAAAATCTCTTCTATTACATATAAAATCTACATATAAAATCTCTTCTATTACAAATATTTGTAACCCTTTAAACATGACCGTTCAATTTTTATTTCTGAGACTTAAAATTTATATGATTTCTTTTATTCCTTTTAATGTTCTATATCATCTATATTGAGTTCATATTCTTTTATCACTATTCTTTATCAAAAACGTAACGCATGAACAATTTTCATAAATAGATGTTGAAAATAATATTTGAACTCAAGTTCTTTTGTCCACTTATTTCATTTAAATCATGTTTTCATTTAGCAGAATTACTATCATTTT